TTAATGGTTTTCCTTAGGCGGAAATTTATACGGTTCGTAGCTTGGAAACCTTGAATGATAGTGTAACGGCAGGTCGTGTTCAAAATTTTTCGGGAATTGGAACAGTTGTTCAAAACCAAATCGTACCCCTACTTCAGATATTCTGAGGTAAATAAGTTACTATAGAATTCGCCTACGCGGTGTTTGGTTGTAAAATGTAATCAATGTTTTCAATACGAAAACGCATTAAGGAATTTCGGTTAGCATTTCCTTAGTTAGCACACCTAATCTAAGTGAATTTCAGTCTCTAGAAATTGGTAGGCGATTTCACTATATGAAACATCAGACCTTTAATAAGCCTTTAGTAAGAAACGTCTCTTTCTTTAGTGCCTTGATTATTTTAAACAAACCCAAGAGAATTACAGTACACAGTCTAGGTGCTGAAACATAGCGAATGTAATCCAGAAAAAATTAAGGTGCCCATCGTCCGTTGTACATTTAATACAGTAATTGTCCCCACTAAGTGAATGCGCTATCCTTCAAAGCAACTATTTCCCAATTGATATAATCAAAGACAGATTAAAATGTTAGCAGAAATCCATTCGACTATCTTCGCCAGCGATTCGACGAGACTAACGCATTAAGACATTTTCAGTCCCTAAATAAAAATCAATCCAAATTAGAAGCATATGGTAAAACAGCATTCAACAGCCTAAAGCGGAGTGTTTATTCTGAGATAAATAGCTGAGACGGGACAAGAATATGTATATAGCTTCCGGAAAAAAAATAAGTACTCTCTTTTACATCTTGCGTTTCTGTTTCTGTTTTACGTAAACTTGAAATAGACCAGACTCGGAAAAAACGTATTGACCAATTTTAGTAATTACATGGCCCAATTCGTGTCCAATTTCAAATGTGTGAACTGAGCCTTCAACCAAGGAACCCTAGAGGCCGTAGTTCAAAATAGCGAAAAAACGGAGTTGATCACGTGCGGCTTAGTTTTATTTATTTTGGCCAGTGAAAGACAGACGAGGCAAAATACGACAAAGACCTCTCATTCGAAAACGCAAATGGCTTAAGAGCCCACCTGAAAAAGCACCCAGCAAAGGATTTCTTAAAGCTATTACTTGCGAAGGAAGTTTATTCTTTAATCAAGCACAAATTCACTCTAGCCCTTAGGTGTGGACATCCAATTCGTCGACGTATTAGACATAATGCAGAATGTAGGAAGTAAAGATGATCCAAGCCAAGACGCAGTCAAAGGGCATCAGAATATGGTAGAATATAAACATTTTGCGTCCTCGGCTAGGGTAGCTGGAAACCCCAAAATATTCGTTGGCTTCTCAAAAGGTCTGAAGACCTGGCATATCCACTATTGTGCATACTCATTTGAAAGTCTCATAAACCAAGTTTTGCTTTATACTGGCATAGACCAAGGTATGATCCTGCTACCTAGGAATTTATTCTAAAGCGTGTGGTTTTAAAACAATAAGCGCATGTGTAACAGCAGTTTGCTTTCAAAGTCCTCTTGGAATCGCAAGCGTAATGTGAATAAACGTACATTCTTAACACATTTGTGCAAGGAATAATACTATTAATCGGGTATCCCGTAAAACATTTTTGAGTTTACTATTGCATCGAAAATTTAGATAAAACATTATGCTACAAGGTAGACAGTTTTGCATGCCAACGAGGATATTTGAAATTCAAAGTCAACACTCTTGAAGTAATGGAGCATGAAGAAAAACACGTCAACCATATTCCAGAAATCCGCATTAACTGAGCACACATTTCATAATTTCAGTTAATCCTTCAACTTATACGCTTTATACACAAACACGGCAGTTCGAACTTTGCGACCGACGATGTCCATCATGTGTCCCACATGAGAGTGAAAGCGGACAAGGTGGCTTTTGCGTGATTTCTTTCCTGTCAATAGTACGTTTTCAAAGTATCGACCACACTCCTTCCTACTGTTCCACCTAGGCCCAGTGTCACGACCAAGTCAAGAAGACCGGACTTTGGGAAGTGCGACACACACATTCATATGCATCTATGCACAAACATAAAGCAACAAGGCATGCCATTGCGTATTATTGCCTTTCGTTTTCAGCCAATCTGTTCTCCAGATTTAATGCTAAGGCGCACCCGGATAATCCTGTCGCATATGCCCTGTGTGTCACAATGCGCATGGGTTTGCATACTTATTACTATTACTGTCAATGTTGCTACTACTACTACTACTATTACTATTACTACTACTACTACTACTACTACTACTACTACTACTACTCTGCCACAATGCAACATTTGCGTTAGCATATCGCCAGGCAGATAACTCGAAAGACCTCTTGTGCGTCGACGCAGTGGCTCGCTGTTTACCGGACGACAGCACACTAGTCAACTGGCCTACAAAGACGGGTGCTCGTAGCAGGCGAGAAAGTGACTACTCGAATAGCCAATCCAGCTCTCCGTTGTCAGAAGACGTTCATACAGACCGCCTTTCATCCCAGGTGATGATCGCGCGGCACTCTAACTACCTGAGTATAGTCGCATGCATTCAGAGTGCTTGACGCGGTTCGACAGTCGTTTCTGATGATGTCCACCGTGTGCTACACAGCAAAGCGAAGCACGTAAGGCACATTGAGAGGAGTGAGTTACGTAGAAACAATCGGATAGCACCCTCCTACCACTAACCATTAAGACGTAAACAAAAAATCCTGTCCAGAACTGAAGAGGTCATTGGATTTGCCATTGCAGAGACCCAAAGACGAATTGCTAAAAGCGTATTATTGCTAACTAACTTCTCGATCGTAGCATGGGAATTGTAACAGAATTTAACCATATTGCCATAAGCATTAGTAATGATATATTTGTTACTCTTCGACTGTGTACACTTAATATCCTTTTTAAAATTCTTAAAAGGGAAAACTATTTGACAAAGGCCAAAATTCGCACACACAACGACCCATTTAACATCGATTGGCAGCTAAATGATTTTCATATGGACGATCGAATAACACGCATTACACAATTAAACAATACGAATAGATACTGGTTCACCAGCAGATCCAGTCCGCGATTGCGTGTTTGACGAAATCCTGTTGCTTACTCCCTACCGCTCGATGCCTAACAGCACCTCTATGTTCCAGACTGCATTAGGCTTTAGTAATCACTGTCACTTATACGACATGCAACCGAGGGACCTGGCGCGCATGTCCAATGCGCAATATCGCGAAAGATGTCTGGATCCTTCAAAAATACACGTGTTCGGTAACCACGTGCAGATTTGCGGAAAAAATCACCTCCCAATACTGATGACTGCTTTCTCTTTGTAGGTGATCATCTTTCATCTGAATAAACTATTCTGCCAATACGACCGAGCTATACAGACAAGCGGTAAGGCCTCACTCTCAGGAGAAAACGTCCACTGCGAAACGAACATTTGCACTGCATATGTAACGATCGACATGACCTTTTTGGTTTCATTGCAGAAAGAAGATAAGTGGACACGGATATGGCCATAGGTGCTACTACGGTCTGGAATATGGAACCAAATAAATACTATCCCGATCAGTGTGTGCGCTGCAACGCTATAGGGAGTGACATGTCGATTAAGGTAACGTGGATTCGAGGTAAGTAGTCACTTGTATCAGTCTAGCAACGTCGGCCAAAAGTCTCCGTTTACTTCTCTGTGAAGTTGAGCATACGAGTTAATTACAGGAGAAAAATAAATCATAAATCAGGGAGTTTTGATTTGACAAATACGCCCTTTTAAGTAGAGCACTTTCGAGATGGCTGGTGTCAAGTATCCACGAATCATCAAGATTCAAGAAGATGCTAGCTAAGTTTATAATGTCATATAACACTCTGGTCTCTTTAGACGTAATGCGTTTGTGGTGATCTGTGTTGCTGGTTACGCAGTATGTCTAATTTCTCCTTTTGCATGGTTCTGCAATACATGTTTGCGCGCAGATAGTTTATCAACATGCGCAAACACACATGACAGCTAGTATATTCAGTCGATTTGATTTGGCATAACAAGGAGAAGAAGCAGAAAACAGTTATCGTCCATTTGAACAAACCGGGAGAAATCCAGTTCCGTGTGAAAATTGTTGTGAAATACCACTTGATGATGCAAAAAATGGCAAAAGTAAAATGAACAGTGCTACTAAAAGGAGAAACGAGAGCAGTTGATGCTAGTGAGGTGTGTGATCGAGCCCCATGTGTAACACCATCAGTACCGATGTAATTGATTATGACCAGTAGAATCAACGGCAAAACCGCTAACGCATAATTTTACTGTCATGTTTATGTGTGTATAAAACAGTAGCATGCCTGATATGGATGCGTCCACGTCAACTACTGCGAAGACAGTGTATCACGGTACTGAAAACAAATATGCTTCTACATGCAAAACTACCATAATGGCTTTGTTTATTTTAAATGTGGCGAAAGTTGTATCTAAGGTCTGAGAAAAGGCACGTCTACGCATGATTCCCGTCTAATCATTCTATTCAGAAATTTGAATTCCAACACACCTTCGGCCTAATATGGATCACTAAAAGCAGGTGTGTGTCCTCAACTAATTTAACAATTGGACAATAGTGCGCACGAAAACTGCCCCCCAAATGCAAGTTAGCCTGGGTTTTATTATCGACAAAATCTGAAATTAAAATCCAACGTTGTATCATGCCTACGATTAGTGATTTTGGAAAAAAATTTGAAAAGAACTCTAAACGTCAAAGACGGTGCCTGGTGGTTAATGAGATTGTTTACCCTCATTTTATTATCGCACCCAGAGACATGTGGGGCTTTCAAGCAAATCGGTGACTGGGTATCAGTCGAGAGTGTTTTGTAATGCGTGGGAATTTTGGTTCTCTTCCAGCCGATGTAATCCCTTGCAAAGGCGAGTTAGCCTACCAAATGCAACCGACAGCTGCCCCAATCTCTGCTTCGGGTGTATATTTTGAGGAGACATATAAATAGGCAGGCCAGATGGCATCTAGCATTTCTGCAACATGAAAATCCCTGGCTTTATATTATTTATGTATTGCGTGATTGGTATGTCTAGCACTTTTTAGTCTTTGTTTAAATGATCAAGATAGTGCAGGCACATTTTTAAATAAAATGTGCACTACAAAGACCCTTGCCTGGGTGAGCTGAATAAAGCACTCAAAATTGCCAAGCAGTTTCCACGAACCCAATATACAAGTCTAGTTTTATTGCATCCAGTGTTCAATTACCACTGTACAGAATTGCATTTATCCGTTGCACAGCCTTTTACACTAGAATGTATGGAGACTAATCAAATGAAAGATTTGTTTATTTTATTTTCCTGGGTAAAATATACAAGCATTTGCGATTTTATTTGTGGTTAATTGCATAATAACGGGCTGCATTTTCTTGTTTATGAGTAGGTTTTGCGCAAGAAGATTACGTGCCATTATCAGACGGACTCGAAGATAACGTGGTAACCTCATTGGATTCATGTCAATGGGTGCGCGTGAACCTTCCAGAGCAGCTAACGGTAGTGCATTCATGAAAATGCGTTATGAATGAATTATCATTACTTTAAATTATGCGTTTAATCCATTTTAAAGAACATTTTAAAAAGTAACTATATCCACCTTTTACTCTATGATGCACACTATTAAATTATCAGATAGCACTAGTCATGAAAGTGCTTCCCACATTTTGGCTCAAAGTAAATGTGACTAAATACCGTATATGCTACATCTACATTTTAAAACATTCAGGTAAATTTAGTAGGTAATGAATTAAGGGGTTACTAGCGGTGTTTTGCCCCGCTGCCTTTTCAGGACACTGAATTGGATCAGTATTTGCCATTGGCGAAATAATATGTTTTCTTTTCAGGACATATATTTGGACGACCTGCATATTCCCTGTAATAATGAGTCATGCAAATCCACAGTCGACGAATCAATTGAAGTTGAATACGAACAGACAAAAGGTATGTGCTTTGTCGGATGATTGCATTTTTTATATGTAAACAAAACTAAGAATTCCAAGTAGTGTTTTTGCAAAACGAGAACAAACAGTGAGAGCAGAACTGGACTCCCATAATGACAGAGATTCATGACATAAAGCTGAGTTTACCTATACAAGTGGACCGGCCTTACAAAGCTTCCAAGTCATTTACAGAAGGAGAAGTTAGTACATTCATACTACCAAAGGGGTCACCTACTCCCCGAGATAGTTCTTTTAACTACCATTTAAAGCAGGAATTATGAAAAAATAGCAAAACTGACATAGGAGGCAGTTTGTTAAAATATGCCCAGTACGCTGTGTTGTAAGGATACCAAGAATACGCGTATGAAACGCGATAAGTGGCGCAGAAGGCAGTCATGGATGGGAAGTGACCCTATAAACATGTGCTATTGGGACAAATCACATAAACCTGTTTGCACGAAGGCAGTTTCGAAAAGTGATGAAAAGCACGGAAGACTATAAATAGGCAACCGTTCGAGTTTGAGAGGAATGTAAGTGGAGCCTCCAGAATGTGTTCGCAATTATGGTACGGATATTCAGTCGTTCTCCGAAGTCTGCTTTTTCTTCGGCTCATAGTCACGACCTCGGAGTAACGCCAGCGGGGGTCTACCCTTGCATTCAGACAAATCCTAAAAGTCAGTATCTTAAACCTGACAGGCGGATTCATGAGTGGGTCTCCTAAAAATTGACCTCCGCCCTCTAGGGCCCGTCCTTTTGTTGATCGGTAAACCGGTTTTACAACCGTTTTGCATTCAGGAGTGTATACAACGTGTTGGCATTGAGCTCTATAGGCAAAGGGTCTTCACTTGGACCGACTGGAATAGTATACTCTTATGCCAGTTTAAAATGAACTTCTGGCATCGCGCGGTTTTGCAAAATTCATCGAATATCGCTGATTCCTAGAGACGTTTCCTATTTTGATTAGGACAGGAGGCTTACCGGTCACCTTAAAATTGACGTTTCGACAAATTGAAATTTCTGGCCTTGTCGTTTCCTTATGGGGAAGTACACAAAGTAGCCGTTATGCTCTAGATTGCCTCCGAGGAAATGAATTTTGTAGGAGGCTTCTGGTGGAAAAACACTCTTCTGATATGACTGAACGGCCAAATATTTAGGAAGTGAAGGAGACTCCTCGGCATAACTTGTTCATGGCATTGATCACTAGTTGGCAATGACTCGTCTTGTATACTACCATGAAGTGTCGTTCACAGCTTCTATAGCGAGCTCAGTCTGATACGGCCGATCTGAAACACAACGTAATCAAAAACGAACGACTTTAGATGGTCTCGCCAGAGCCATTCTACAAATATTTGTTCTCCTTAGGATTGGCTTTATGGGAACATTTGCTGAACGGATTCAAGGACAACTGCATATTACCTAATCTATTATGGTTTTACGTGATTTCACATGAACCCCATTTCAAGTCTAAGTTTAAAAATGAAGATATAACTGTGCGGACCATTCGCTCACAAAGATTTTCATAGTGAGTGCACATGGTTGGTTACCAGGCGATGCTTTCTTCTCACTTAAAACATGTTCAGATTTGCCTGCATTTTTGCAGACGCATGAGAACCACATTATTCAACTGAAAACTGTCATCAGCAGTATGTCTCTTCGAAAGAATTTTGATTTTTCGTCGTTTAGATGGAAGGCACTATGAGGTCGAAGGCAAAATCTGTAAACCCGAGAACTACTTTCGAATTGGGTGGCAGGTAGACGGGTTCAATCGTTCCGTGCGCAAGACACTCCTTACACAATTCATTGCACCCCGGGGCGACTGGACAGTAAACAGTAAAAGTAAGTGGCATTTTGGATATAATTAGTGAGAAATAAATCATTCACTGTCTGAAGTCTATTAGACCAGAAATGAATTTTTGTTTCAGCTTGTATCCAGCCACAGTATTCTTTACCGCTGATTCGAACTATCAATGAAAGTTCCAGAACAATAGTGAAATGCGCAATTCGAAAATCACTGTGCAACACAACTGAAAGCGTAAGCTTTAGTTTATGATCTGCAGATATACCAAGCAATAAATATGAAGCATTCCTAAAATATTTTTATTTTAGGTTGCCATTTTCGACTTGAATGGCGAATTCTGTGCATACAACGATACTGTTAAGACGTGCGGTAAATTATTTATTTTTGGTTAATTATGACACGATATAAGAATAAATTGGCTTGCATATTCGCTGTAATATGATGTCTGTAACGAGTATTTAAAGTCAATTTTTAGAGAAAACACACGAAGACAACGATATCGTCGTCTACGCTACCACGGTGTACAATACGGCTCCTAACAAATATTTTCCGGACCAATATATCTTCTGTAACACATTGGGGAGCTACATGTCAATTAAAATCACCTGGAACCCAAGTAGTGTTTTCCGTGCATATAACTCGAGTTTTTTAAAACTAGACTTTTTTAAGTAGGAATTTTCGGCAGTAGGTAGTGATAAAATTAGAGTGAAACTGGTCTGCTAAATATATTGCATTTGAAAGCGGATGAAATTGATTATTGCTGACCAATAGTGCTTGGAGTTTAAATTTAATCTAACACTAGGTCTTGCATTCCGATGTACTGTCAGAAGTTAAAAAGACATGCCAAAAATTACAATGAAAATATAAACTACGGTAGCCAATATGACGGACCAATATGTCGGGTCACAACACAATAAAGTCTTTTTTAAGAAGCAACTTCTGCCTGAGGCGAAGAAAGTCCCATCTAGATGGCGGACAGTGCTACTTATTCTGAATGTCATATTTCATGAGTAATTCCCCATAGGCCATCCATCGACTCGCCACCGCAAGGCCATTCACCCCCGTGCAGCGAGCCGTTCCAGACGCACTGACTGGGGCCGTTCGACCAGCTTTAACTCGGACGCACACGCCTTCACTGAGTCGCAGGTGCCTATGCGCCACTTGAAGTGCTCTCTGCAAAGGGATGAATGACACAGGAGACAAGGCCATTCAGTCCCGTGCAGCGAGCCCTTCCAGACGCACTGAGTTGGGGCCGCTCAGTCCACTTCAACTCGCGTGTCCACTTAGTCGCAGGTGCCTATGCGACAATTGAAGTGCTCGCTGCAAGGGGATGAATGACCTTGAGACACCAAGACCTTGGAAAATTACGCCAGGTCTGAGCATGATGACTGCCCTCAATAAGCACACGTGTGAGTCACCCTGTTAGGCATAAAAATGACGTCGCGCTTTTTGACGCTTCCAGTAAATGGACTTTCCTTGCTCTTTTACATCACCAACTTCTGGCTTATAAAGTTCACTATAGCACCCAATGTCTTTTTTGGGTTTAATTGATTTTTGAAGCTGGCTTTTAGCATGATCACCTGGAATGGTGAATATGAAATAATCGCAGTCGAAAACTGTTGAAGGAAACATTCCTATCCGTCTGTTACCCGACAGGGCTTTTCTTTTGCCTTGAGAGTACGCGGCCGCATGTGACGTCAAAAATAGTAGTATGTGATTATGGAGTATAGCATTAGTTTTACAAGTGGGGAATTTTATTACAATGTGACAGTTCGACCATCGGTTTCGATGATGTCCACCGTAAGCCCCACAGTTGCAGCAGCAATGGGAGCAGGGACGGCGACTTACGCAGGGGTTTATAGTGCCGGTAGACTTGCGTATCATCTACCTACACACTCTCCTCCTCCCCCGCCTGGACCCGGTGTCAAGACAGAGTCAAGAAGACCGGAGACGAGGGAGGCCGCAGGTGGATGGCTCGGACGGATCCTCACCTTGGCGTTCCACCACACCCCCTGGTCCACACAACAATAACCAGGATTTCAACCAACACAACAGAGATTTGGAGGCTGGCACGGCCGAAGCCGCACCTGGGCGTGCCGCCAACGCCTGGCTCGGATCCCACACTGTGGTGGGAATGCCATAAAGGCCACATTAAAAAGGAGCCATTGCAGCCTGACTCTCAGACCGCCTCCAGTGAAAGAGGAGGTCCAAGGTACCCCGTCAGTTGGCAACCTTCCAAGCCACGGCTTTTAGCGCACCGTGATAGCTTCAAGCGCGTCAGATTGTTTATAGTGAGGAGAAAGTGCGCTGAGTCGTCGACCTCACTCTCCCTTCCCATCCCCACACCCCAGCCGCTGTCCGAGCCGGTCAGAAGACTGGAGTGGGGTATTACAATGTACGCAATTTCTGATGACCTCCATCGTTATGCTCAAATCTAACGTGTTTCGTCCCGATAGACTACGGCAAATCAAACGGACTTGAAGACAATGTTATCACCGTTACGGGCCAATGCATATGGGTAGAATCTAACCTACCGGAGACACTAGCGGTAAGAAATTATACATTGAATATCAAACGACTGTGAAAACCTTATTGCTGCTTACAGTAGTAGCTCATTTGTAACTCTTGGTGCAAAAGATGGATCAGCAGCTCCCTAATCACAACGGTTGTCATTCATACGGTTTTTAGAATTATGAAAATGACCATATCTGTCCTGATATCCAAAAACAGGCTTGTGTGTCATTGCAGGACAGTCAGTATTTTATATCAAAACTAATTTATTTTACTTTCAGAAGCTAGTATTGGATAGACGTTCGCTGAGGTGTGAGGACGGGTGGTGCAGGGCTCGAGGGGACGACGATATGCAAGTGGAATACCAGCAGGAAAGAGGTATGCATGCCATCTGGGAGAAAACTTGTTTATATTACTACATACCAAGGCAGATTGCAGACGTTGAAATCTAGTGTGTGTCAGTTTGTGACTGTCGGTTTAACATATCAAGAAGTACCCGGTATGTTTTCAAAAAGTGCAGTGTTTGAGGCCTAAATACGCAGTGGTGCGGTCGGGAGTCTCAGGTAATCCTGAAATTGCAGTTGAGTAAGTATGTCTGGCCTTTTGGTCGAACGCCTCCACTCACTGAGAATGTGTTGGCACATGTGGGAAGACTCCTGAGGACTATCCAGCTGCAAGCGGACTTCTTAACTTACCAAGCAGGAAAAGTCTAGATATAGGATTGGGTATTTAAATAGAAATTATCCGTTGGTAATATGATGTAGTACTTTGTGGCCAAAAGGGCAAATTCGACGCCACGCTCATTCATGAATGTCATTTAGCAGCACAATGGCGATGTTACTTGTTGACATTTGTTGACATACCATGGACACCCTTCACACATTTACTTTGAACAAATTTAGTATACTTCAACAAGAATTAGTGAAGATTCGCCATCAACGAAAGCCCGAAAGTGCATCGATGTAATGCACTCGGACGACGGATACACCAATCGCATGAAATCCCGCATACTAAATCTCAGGGAGTGATAAAAGAGCTGGCGACCAATGTGTAAATTCTAGTAGCATATAGACCACAACCTGTGCTCATTTTCCACTTCCAGAATATTTTGGCTTGCTATGGCACGCACTTGCCCAGTCATGTCTCGGGACTTGACTAAGAATACTTACGACAGTCGCACAGCTACCAGTAATATATCAACACTGAGATTACTGACACAGGCCGGGTAGACAGGAATGGTCAATTCCACCCTATTAATCATCGTCTGTCAGCCATGCCGAAGAAGAGGTTTCAACACACGTTTCAACACTTGTTCATTGCTCTGTCCATACGGGCCCGTTTTAGATCGCGCATATAAACTGAGAAGGAATATGCTCATGGAGGATAGCACTAGACGCACTCCTCCGGTTTTGGTCCCGGGCTCGATCTGGAGCACCGATGACAGTCACATAGTGACTAGATTTGTTGACTGTAAGATGTCTATTTTTTGCGGCAGTGTATCTGCAAGTTTATTACTGCCGGTTATGAACACACGATATGGGGTATACTTATTTCAAAACTTATGAAGCCAGTATGACTTCTCAATAGGATCAAAGAATGTGTGATTTTTTGGAAGGTTTATGCCAAGTAGTTTGAAAACACTAAGCGCAAATACAGCGCCAGCTCCGGTTCAAAATCACTCGGGAATCGAAATCGTTTTTTTTAGACCGGAGATGATAATTCTTCAATTATGAGATATAAGAAACGAAATTTTCTATGGAATTTGAAGAAACGTAGTTTCTCGCTAAAGGACACAAGGGAAAGTATTACTGAGCGCGTTTCCTGCGAAATATATTTGCAATTATATGTGCATCGCAAACTAAGGCAGAAAGTAGGCTACTTAAGTAGTCACACTTTTGCATACAACCGGAAAAAAGCAAAGCTAAGAGAAGACAATTTATTATTATTGGGCACGACTAAAGACAAATTTCAGTAATGCGCCACTGATGAGGGCACATTCTATTATATCAGCAAGGTTTTCGTCGTGTACGCTATCTACATTAAGTGGTCGATCTGCTGAAATCTTTCCTGAAATTTGATATCCGTTCACGGCTAGGAAGGAACACTTAGGTACGATTGTAATGGTGATTATCATGAGGGTTCATCTTACAATATTCTGGACTCACAATGATGTTGGCTTTTAAATTAACTTCTAGGATATCTGTTAAATCTGTACTTGAATAAGCATGACTACACATATAGTATGCATATTTCGCCTGAATTATCGAAGGATATAAAATAAAAACATTTTTCTGTAAAACGCCTCCAAAATATGCTTTTTAGCTCATTGCGTTGCGAATTACTTCGTCGCTATATCGTATTCTCGAAAAAAGAGTACCTTTCGGTTTCTATGTAATTTATAATTATAAAATATTTAGGACTGTATAATGTCCACCCATACAGCATCGTATCTGTACGCCTTTAATACTGCTTAGAAAGATATCTTACATAGTCAGCATGCATTGCAAAATTCTATGAACTCTACACCGACCATCCTTATGACGTAGAGGAACATATATTTATTTCATAGACAGTATACGTCTTGTAAGCTGGAATCACTAGACGCTATTACAAAGGCTGATCTGGTCCACAACTGATCAAGGATCGGAAAACCTTTTCAGAAAACAAATTTTACCCACTAATGAGAATAAAACGTAAAGATGACGAGATTTTGCTACTAAGTGATCTAAATTAATTCTATTTTTATCCATGTTTACTATAACATATATATGCATTTATAAGGCCATACAAAATGAATTGAAAAATAGCCTACTAAATATATAATCATTTTTAATAAGTAAACTTTTATCGGATTAAAAAGGTACATATTTAGGAGCTAACATTCCTAAAAATCTGAAATATCATGAGTATATACCGCGTAATAATTAATATTACACCATTTTCTAAGTAATTTTTCCAGATAGAAATCACATTTCATAATTTTACCAGCATCTTATGAGACCGGTAAATGAGTGTACATACAACGGACAGTTCGGCCGTCGTGAATGTTGTCCACCATGTGTTTTTATGCAAATGTGAGAGCAGACATGATGACTTGTGCACGAGTGCTTTCATTGTGATAGTAAAATTGCGCAGCACATACCACATCTCCCTCATCTGTGGCCGGTGTCATGACCAAGTTAAGAAGACCGGCTGATTGGGAATGCGACTTGCATGCATTCAAATGCATACACATATACAGTGAGTGACCTATCTCATGAAATGTTGACTGAAATTCTGAAACGTGTTTTCGATTAGGAAGGATTACTTAGGCGCGGATGTAATACTACTTATCTTGCGGCATAATCGTATAGTATTTCGGACTTGGCAGGATGTTGGCTTTTAAACACAAAGCGTTTTATTCTCCTGTAAAAAAAAGCTACTCGGTAAAAAATGACTATTTAAGTAGCATGCATTTTTCTCATTGATTTTCGATGGTCTTGCAAATTCCAATACATCTTATAGAAACCAAAAACAAAATACGTCTTCTTTCAGTCAATTAATAGAAAATCACGTCTACTCTTTTTTATTCAACGAAGGAGTATAATAAGGTTTTAAGAAAGTGTCTGATAATGAGATTTTTTGAGACCGCGCAATGTCAATTCACATAGCATCGTACCTGGCCGTTTATGACAGCTCATCGTGAAATGTACAGCATAGTTCGGATCCATTGCAAAATTTTATAAACTCTATATGGTGTCTTCCTAAACGCATAGAGAAATATGTGATTTTCCTTACGGAGAAAGCATGCACCTTGTTACCTGAAATCGCTAAACGCTAAGACAATGGCAAATCTGGCTCAAAATTAGTCGGGAATTGGAAAACTTTTTAAAACCTAATTATAATCCTTCCTTGATTGTGAAATATAAAGAAGACGTGATTCTCTATTAATTGACTAAGAGAAAGCATTATTTTTGTTTCTTTAAGATATATTTGAATTTGCTAGGCAATCAGAAATTAATGAGAAAAATGCATGTTACGTAAGTAGTCATTTTTTACCGAGTACGTTTTTTTACAGGAGAGTAAAAAGCAGTGTGTTTAAAATCCGACATCCTGCCGAGTCCGAAGTACAATACGATTATGCCGCAGGATAATGAGTATTACAACTGCGCCTTAGTAATCCTTCTTAATCAAAAACACGTTTCAGAATTTCACTAAGCATTTCATGAGATAGGTCACTCACTGTGCATGCAGTAAAAAAGCATTCCATATCGTATCATCGCCATTCGCATTGCGACAGCAACGATGGACTTCATGCTAAGTGCCAAGACACAAACGGTTGAGCATACCGTATATACCATGCACGTCACAGTACTCGTACTACTCTCAGTCGTACACATTAATATCCTGGCGTACTGCTGCATTTGTGCAAGTTAATCGCCCGGTAGATAAATTGAAAGGCTCCTTTTATCTCAACTCGGTATATCGTTATCTACCGAACGTCAGCACACTACCATATTGGTGTTCGCAAAGGAGTGCTAGCGACGGGCAAGTCAGTGGCTATTCGGTTAGCCAATCCAACTCTCAGTTATCAGGAGACATTGATACAGGCCGCCTGTTATTCCTGGTCGCACGCCGCCTGAAAACATTCCCATGCGCTCCAAATGCTTGACCTGCACACAACGCTCATACCCCATTCCGAATCACACTCTTTTCCTCCTCCGCCCCCTACCACCTTCAACTCCAACGACCTCAAGACGTGGCTTCTGTCATGTAGGCGGCGCAAAAATAAAGACAGTGACCACCAATTAATCACTTGGACACATCTGAATCCTCTCCAGAGCTGACAATGTCATTACTTCCGTTATTGTGAGGGCCCGATGATGAATTGGCGAAAGCGTAATTTCGCTAACTGACTACTCAATCCTAATACGGAATAGTCACTGAGCTCAGACTTATCGCCAAAAGCGTTATGGATAATATAGTCTCCACTCCTCTACTTTGCGTATGCAAAATACATTTTTTAAATTTTAGTTGGGAAAAGCTACCTGACAAAGGCCAAAATCTGCACGCACAACAACCCCTTTAGTATCGGTTGGCAACTAAATGATTTTCATGTGGACAATCGGATAACGCGCATTACACAATTCTTTGCGCCAAACGAAGACTGCTCCACCAGTGAATTCAGTAAGCCATTGCATGTTTGACGGAATGCAGCTGCTCACGCCCGATGCCTAACAACACCTCTATGCTCCAGGTTGCATTAGGCCCCAGTATTCACTGCCACTTATACGAAATGTGACTGAAGGATCTGGCATGCAAGTTCAATGCGCTATATCGAGAAAGATATGTGGATCATCAGAAAATGTGCGTATTCGGTAACCACGGGCAGATTTGCGGATCATTCACCTCCCAATAGTGATGCCTGCTTTCTGTTTTTAGGTGATCATCTTTGATCTAAATAAAGTCTTCTGCCAATACGACCGCACTGTGCAGACATGCGGTAAGGCCTATCTCGTCCACTTTGGAGTCAGCATTTATAGTGCCTTCTCCACTGCATAGATAAATATATGCATTGCCCTTTTTTGGTCTCATTGCAGAAAGAACAGAAGTGGACAACGATACAATCCTATTTTCTACCACAGTCTGGAATACGGAGCCAAACAAATATTATCCTGATCAGTATGTGTTCTGCAACGCTATGGGAAGTGACATGTCAATTAAAGTAACGTGGAGCCGGGGTAAGTAATATCTTGTACTTATTTCACAGCATCGCCCGAAAGTCTCCATTTACTGCCCTGTGGATTAAAACATACAGGCTAATTGTAAGAAAGCGACGAACAGCATAAACCAGAGAGCTTTGATCTTTCACATAGTCCTATTTACTTTGACCAATATCGCACTGGCAAATGTCGAAGTCTCATGAAACATTGAAAATCAAAATGAAACTGTCAGGATGAGACTTACAAATGTATATTGCTTGCAAAAAGGGGGAAGACACGATTATACTGAGATATGCGTTGAAGTTCCAGCCGTATGTTTAACACCATTAGTAACGAGTACGGTCAGTCTCTTTAGTATACACCGGTTATACCAGTACTTACTAACGCGTATTTATCACTATATTATCTGCATATGTCTGTTTTAAAGTTATCATTTTCAAGTACTGGGGAAACCGCAGCAGACTCGAAAACAGATCTTGGAATTGAAAACACATATGCTTATATATATATATATATATATATATATATATATATATTACATGGGCAGCTCGCTAAGAGTGCAACAGCCCAGACGCAGACAGCTGTTTTACGGTCGTGACCGATCATTAGTACGTCAAAGGTCTTATGAAGTGAGGTATATAAGCATGTCAAGTGGGCGTTTGACCCTCACTATTATAGTTAGGATCTCACTCGATCCCATTCTGTCCGCCCGTCAGCCTGCTACTGGCGACAACGAACGCTGTGTCAGAGGACACATACCACATATAATACAGGAACAGCTCGCTAAGAGTGCAACAGGCCAGACGCAGACAGCTGTTTCACGGTCGTTACCGATCATCAATACGTCATAGGCCTTATGAAGTGAGGTATATAAGCATGTCAAGTGGGATCGAGTGAGATCCTAACTATAAAAGTGAGGGTTAAAAGCCTACTTGACATGCTTATATACCTCACTTCATAAGGCCTATAACGTACTGATAATCGGTAACGACCGTGAAACAGCTGTCTGCGTCTGGCCTGTTGCACTCTTAGCGAGCTGTTCCTGTATTATATGTGGTATGTGTCCTCTGACACAGCGTTCGTTGTCGCCAGTAGCAAGCTGGCGGGCGGACATACTGGGACCGAGTGAGATCCTAGCCACAACAGTGAGGGTCAAACGTCCACCTGACATGCTTATATATATATATGCAACAATTACCACAGAAGATTCTATGTATTTGACCAAAGAACACGAAGTACATTGGACGGTAATTCGGCGTCAGTCATTCTCAATTTATTACTTGTTCAAACTTTGAACATGCATGATTCATATGTCGATTTCATCAAACCCACATACGTGCAACCTTTATGACGAATGTACCTAAATGGCTTTTTGATCCTCATTGCAGACGTGGCCTCTTTGACAACTATTGAAACCGCAGCGGAAAGTACCCTGATTCTAGGTAACAGAAGAACCATTGTCAAAATTATCGTTTATGATTTTTCCCGAAATATAATTTTTGTTGTTTTTCTTCGAATTCTCTTATGATGTTCTCGCTATTTGCGTACAACATAGACAGGTATTCGATTTAATTCCACAGTTAAATGAACTGCAATAACTTATGCAATTTTGCAGGCTGTCGAATAAATTTTGAAGCAAACATGGTGGTTAAACGTGTCATCTAAATGTTATGAAAAACTGATTCAAATCTATTCAGTCAAAAGAGGTCCTCCCTTGCTTAAGTACCACAACACATCTGTCTTCACTGTTTACATCTTATGTGTAATTAAACTATTCTATGTTTACTTTGGAGCAAGTGTAAACGTGTCGCTCATCAAGATAATGCTGAATTGGTTTTACAATGAAGAAATTAAACATGCTTGACGGTCGCGAACTGAGATTTATATAGCGCACCACCTTTTTTCTTTTTCACGTTACGCAAAGCCACTTAGATTCTTCTAAAGATCATGAGACATTAAGTTTGTACTGGTTTGTTGAGTGCCCAGCTCGCAAGAAATAAAAAAAATAGAAATGTAGGTTGGCTTTTATTTTTCTGCCATCTCCATAGAGGACCGGTGGCATTTTGTCGACATTCGAAAGAAATTCATACATTCAGCCACACTGACGATAAAAACTGTCTTTGAATGTGATTTTAAGAAAAATTTCCGATGGTCCAGTTACGGATTTCTAATTTAGATTGTTAAAAGTAAACATTCATGATCTTGTGTATTTGCATACGGATTGCGATATGCTAATATTTTTATTAGCCACGAGAAACAAGCACATCGATTTCAGACAAGTATGAACACATAAATAGGGAAATGTGTATTAAACGCTTACAACTGAATAAAACCAAATCAGCGCGTGGCGGAAGAAATTGAAGAACCTTGGCCTTCTAAAAAGCAAGAAAATCATAAAGAGGGTTTCTTCGTTTAATACTCATTGCGCATATCCCCCAAAAAAGCACTTCTGCTTGCATTTAAAGAAACAAATGAATGAAATATTTGCAAAAAACGCAAGGTTTTTTAAACAGAATATAAATTTCTTGTTTAAATAGGGCAAAAATAAAGTAAAAATGGAGTGTTAACAAAGCTCACACATTAACATGTCGAAATTGTTAACTGTTTGGGAGAGTTACGCCCAGTTATTTCTTCAACTGTCGTTTGTTTATAAGGGTTTGCAAGGTATATCAAATTTTAACCGCCTATCTGTAGGTTTTCCATATATTTAACGGATAAGAAATATTCGTAGTACAGCGCAATAATAGCGCATCGAAATAGTCAATATTCATTTGAGATAGCAGTTCAAAATCTTGGTTAAAATGAGCTGTCACTTTCCCGACATTTCTTCTTGGATTTAGTGATTAAAACTTGATTTTTTAAAATATCTCATTTCTAGTGAGTGAAAACGACTGCAAAAAATCTCTACTAATATTTTTCTACAAAAATGACATATTGGTCATCACCAGTATATAAAAAACCTAATGTGGTGGCAAATTACATATATTGGTGTCCAAACATTTAGTCGTCACGTGTTCTTTTGGGTTTAAAAGTGCCCTTATAGACCTTTGAGGCCTTATTAAATTTTCACTTTAAAATATCTGCATGCATAGACAAATTGTGGCAGCAACATGCAAACAGAAGTCTTTTATTTTACTCGTACTTTTAACAATCGATACGAACGCGGTGCCGTGATGGCAAAGCAAACTCAAAATAACTCGAGCTTTTTCACTCATTTAGAATATCCCGTAGATTCATGCATATGCGAAGACTGACGTGGTATGTGAATTCTCACTCATGCAGTTATACTTTGTGTTTAAATAATGTCTAAATAGCAGTCAGCTTGGAATTATTATTCATTCATTACACTACGGTTTTGCATCCGTCTTAAATCTTTTAGATGCGTGCATTGGCCTATCTAATGGACATGAGGTTGAGCTGAGTTATCTCATGGCCTGCTTGCCGTGAACGCCTACTTTTCACTCAAGACACAAATATTCATCTTCTTCTGATATCATATTTGCCCAATTGTTATATTTTATGTCCTGATAAAAAGGTAAAGAATATTTTTCTGAAATGTGTCTCCTCAAAAGATCAATTCTTTCAAAATATGCTCAAAACAAATTTCAGGGAGATATTTGTTCAAACACATTTTCAAATCCGGCTAGTGTTTTAGTTCATGCGTGGTTTGTGATTGGTTTTAATGTAACACAAAATCGGTGTTGGCGTCAAGGGAAACTGTACGTTTAAAATATTTTTCGGTAAGGTTCCTTGTAATTTTCGCAAAATAGACCAAGTTCATTTTTGCGAGCTTATCTGCCAACGGCTACGTTAAACAAGCGCAATGTAAACGCAGGCCACATACAGTAGGTGGGCTAACTCATGAAATGCCAACCGAAATTCCCAAACGCGTTAGGTATGTAAGACTTATCAGCATGCAGTATAACTCAGGATGCCAGCGGTCGATCGAACATTCTTTTGGCTGCATGCAAAACCTACCCTCTTCTAAAAATAATTACTTAAGTGGCACGCAATTTTCCCATTGATTTTCGATGCCCCTAAAAGTGAAATTATATTTCATGGAATCCATGTATAAAAAATATTCATTCTTCCACTTGTTCAGGAGGAAACTACGTTTTTTATTCTCATACTCGAAGGAAGGGTAATATTCGGTTTTGAGAAAACGTTTCCAATTCCCGATTGATTTTTAACCCCGAACTGACGTTACACTTACATTCGGGGTTTACAAACTACAAGCCATTACTTGTCCGCGTACGGAAAGCTACAGCTTCCTCTACGGTATTAGGGAAAGAAAATATAGGGTTCATAAAATTTAGCAGTAAATTTGTTACATATTGTTACCTTTGCAGGCCACATTGGTAAATCCAGAGACATGACTCTTTATGAAAGGCTCTTTCATAGTATTGAGAAGTCTGCTCATTCGAACTTTTATTAAACCGCATTTTTCCCTCTTTCAAGTATAAACTTGAAAGAAGATGCAGTATTCAACTGAAGGAGCAAAATAAATGAAAATTTTAATCAGTGTTTTCCATGAAATATGATCTCAGTTTTAGAGGCATCGTGAATCATTGAGAAAAATGCATACCATTTACGTAGTCATTTCGATAGAGTGTAGGTTTTCCATGCAGCCGAAAGGAAGTTCCTTCGAAGGCCAGCATTCTGAGGTAACTGAATTGTTATAGACTGTTGCAGCAGGCTGACTAGTTTTACAACCCTACCTAATTTATCTTTTCGAAACGAAAACGCATTTGTAAATTACGGTTGACAATTTATAAAATATCCCACATACTATTACATTTAGTGTATTACAGTTCTCAAATAAGTACATACAAACTACTCTAACAACAAACGTTTGTTCATGTTACTTTCGACGCTGTGGCTTGCTGACGCTGCTTCCGGATTCTCGTCTCTATTTTGACGCCGGGCCGAATTGGGTGACAAAAAATGGGTGCGATAGGCGCAGCGAAAGTCCATAATCTGATTAAACTAATTCATGCACAGGTTCTCGGACCTGCGTCCTCCATGCCGTGGGCGTAGATTGGACAGCGTCTGGAACGACGGTGTCCGTCGGCCATTTCGACTGACGACTTCCTTTGCCTTCCAATATATACCAGTCCCAACAACGGCATCTTGCAAGCCAAATTGTTTATAGCATAAAATGCTTAAGCTTTACCTAATCTACCATCACCTGCTACACCCATCTTTCGCCCATGATGTGACAAAGCAGGACAAATGAAGGTAAATACGCTCAAAGGGACAGACCAGATCTGACGAAACAGTCCTCAGACCACACCTACCGGGCCACCGTAAAAGGAGCGAGCCGCATCTCATAAAAATGAAAGTGTCATGGTAGCCGCATTATGTAGAAGCCATTGAAATTTGTCCCTCAATCCTGGGAATTAATAAAATATCCCGTCAGTCTACAAAATTCTGACGCCTCCATATTTGCTCAGACGCCTCCGATTCATGGTAGTGGGTGATGAACTGATTCGATACGAGAATGGACTACTCAACACCGTTTTGCCTATCTCATGCATTATCGGCGCAACAATGGCTGATTTGATGCAATACTGCCGTCTACCTAGGTGCCCCTCATGTCCTTTTGCAGAAATGATGTGTGATGTCTTCTCCAGAATTGGGTCTTATGCACATGTGGTCGAATAGGCTTGTATGCAGCCTAAACGAGCTTCAATATAGGCGGGTTTTGTGAAGTTGTGGGAAAGTTGTGTTATTTCACGGTAGACTTTCGTATATGTGTACGGCGGATGGTACCACCGATACCGAGGACCTTGCCAATAAATTGAACAGTGCGCACCCCTCGCTGAAGTTCACTGCAGAGGCCGAGGCAGATGACGAAATTGTCTTTCTTGATGTCCTTCTGCATAGTTAAGAGAATGAGGTTATCCAGCGCAGGGTATTCAGAAAGAAAACCAGGACGGGTGAGTTCGTTAATTTGCGCAGTTTTGTTCCCCAAAACATCAAACGAAATTTGGCCCAGGGATTGGCGGCTAGATTGAGGGGCATCTGCTCACCTGATGCTATTGAAGAAGAGTTCCAGCTGCTGCGGAACACACTTCCGGAGAACGGATACCAAGATAGATTTATCCTCCGATATATTGGGTAACGCGCCGCAAAGCCCACTTTTGCGACTGCGGAAAAGAAACAGGTATTTATAGGATTGCCTTTTGCAGGAGACGCATATAGCAAACTCGTCAAACGGCGCGTAACTACAGCTAACACGAGGGCATTCCCAGCGAAGAATGTACGCATATGATTCACAAACTCTCCCCTCCTACACTTGGGAGGTAAAGACATACTACCGTTGGAGGCCACACCAATGTGCATTTACAAATCCACTTGCTCCTGTGGAGCGGGATATATCAGCTGCACAGCGAGACGCATGGTAAAGAGAGTGCGTAAACATGTGCCCACTTGGCTAGACAGACGTGAGACCCGAAAACCCTGACACAAACGCCCTCTCTGCCGTGGCCAACGCCAACCCCAAATGATGACGACGTGCCGCCTCAAATTCTCAATTACAGTGATGGGTGCTCCGTGTGCTCAATCCAAGAACATCACTCAAAGACTTCCTTACCCCCGTCACCTAGCTCTAAGGACCAAAAACCTCCGACCTTGTCATGCGGCCGGCGTGGGAAGATGAGGGTTACTGACTTAATTGCCCTTGAGACACCTACGAGCAGTCTTGATTACGTACATTTTCAATCCCTCATGTAACTGTATTGGCCTGACGAAAAAGTATCGAAAACACGTGTTTGTAAACTTGCTTTTCATGTGTAGCATGTGAATATTTGCCAAATGTCGAGTACGTTTTTACGAACGAATAGGCTCATCAAGCGGTTGAATATGCACATGGTACTTACATCGAAGCTATGGTCCCCGTTTCCTCTGCCATGCTATAAGGAACTGTAGCCTTTCCTCTGTAGTCGTACGTTTGAAGTCTGCCAAGTTCTCTTAACTTTTGAAGTGGGGTTAAAGTACTTTATTCAAAATCTGTCAAACCCTCTAGTAATACTTGTGCCTGGTTGTCCTCTGATGGATTCTAGATTGCTTATTTTATGAAGTCCTGCTAAGGCAGCTGGCCAGCTCTATTAGATTTAGTGGGACCCATGCGTTTCTGTGGACTAAGTGGGTGAATTGTCGCATGTGTGGCCAAAATCACAACTTCCAGTGGGACCTCCTAGATCATATGGTGACTGGCGTCACTTGTGCTTAGACCTCCTCCATGCCGTTTTAAATACGAATGCCACCGAAGTCGAGACGCTTATCACAGATTGGTAAAAATTCCTTATTCAAAATATGGAAAAACATCTTTAACACCAAATATCCTGAAATTTGCTTCAATTAATACTGAATTTCCAAATTGAAACAACTAATAGACGGTGTGGTGCCTTTTCCTCAAAGGTAAAGATTGTAATTCAGCAATAGATATTGTGTATTGCCTGTCATTTAGCTGAGTTCTCGTTACATTCCTCTTAAAAAGGATTTGCGATTTGCAGATTTCGATTTTGCCTATTAATGGTTTCCCACCTTAGCTTTTCAGAATTAAGTCACCTTTGAAATAAAGTCTCTTGTCAGAGTTGCCTTCGTTTACGAGATAAATTACTATAATTAATATACTGTGAATAGGAGTTACTATGTTAGACGTGACTGATGAATGCACGCCTGTACATCGTGTATTCCGCAGCGCTCAGGGCTCAGGAACCGTGAACTGTGCGTGTGTTAGTCTGAACTTGCCTAGCAGCCGCCACACGCTCCTTTGGGGCATCCAACTGGGGCTGGTAGAAGGCCTGAGTCAGGTGACCGGAAGCGGGATCATGTGCGGTAGATGGCAAAGCTAAAACAAATTCGTACACGCATGCCAAACGAGACCTGAAGGACTAGGTTTTTGCAAGAAGAACTGGTCGGATCGGATGGCACCTGACTCTGAGTACTTCCGACACCGCAGTCAGTCCAACACATGGCAGTCTGACTTTCCGTTCCACGAAGACCACCTTGTTCCACCAGTTGACAGCTCCCAGAACCACGAAGGTAAGCGGGTCTTGTTAATTATAAAGCGCATCCGGTTTGCTATTGTAAGGACTGCACTGGAATGAAGTCGGGACAGAGCCCAGAGTAAACACATTCGGACCTATTCACTTTCGGACACGCCAGTCTGCCGTACAAGTACGCCGGTCCATCTGGGGCTTTAATTCGACGCAAGTTGCTGGCACGGCATGTACCTGTGCCGGGGTTTGCCATGGCGCGTGGTTCGTGCGGTTCGCATGAAAACAAATGGTTGTTTCCGGCGCATTGGGCATCGTCACCCAGCCTTACCTCAAACATCGGCTTGGGACACCAAAGGTTCAGTAGTAAGGTCGTCAAGGTAACAACGCTTAGTAACAGAAATAACGCGACTTAAACGTCATGCGTCCGCAAAACTTGGGGTT